AAATATAAATATTTTCTAACAATATAAATCTTTGCTATCACTTCTTAACAATTTAACACATCCTTGCTGAATAAAAGTTTTCTTTCAAAAAAAGAATTTGGCCGTGATTCGGCCATAGGCACGAAAACAGTATTATTTATAAATGTATAGTGGATTTGGGTGTCCACCATGAACAGTGAAAAGGTTGGTGTTCTGTTATTAGTAGAATATCACACCACTAGAAAAGGCTCTCACCCAATCAAATTCGAGGACCAGAAAGAACTGTTATATATATATATATATATATATTTATAGGTGGTATAAATGTAGCTGAAAAAATGTCAAAAATCTTAAGAACCAATTGACAAAAGTTACATCATAATGACATAATATAATTATTTTTGAGTGAAGCAGTTTTGTTTTGTTTTAAAACATTAATATTTGATAAACTTTTGTCGATCAAGTTAAAGCCATTGTAGCATAACCAACATGCATAAGCCGTTTTGTTTTGTCTTATTGTCACTCATTTTCACTTTATCTTTTCTAGGCATGTCTTCTCAAATGCAGGCGTTTTCCTCTCCCTCCGTGTCCTCCAGTGGCCTGTCCCGCTCCAAGAAACTGAAGTTGGAAAACCATGCATGGAACGTGAGCAGCCAATCAGGTGACAGCAGCTACTACCAGCACAGCCCAAACCAGCCGAATGGCTCCTCCCCCTCCACATCTGGATTCAACCCCAATTACAACTCCTCCAGCCTGGTCTTTCCTCCTTCTGGAGGCTCGCGGGAACAGACAGTGGTACGTGCCGCAGACAGCACCGGCAGCGTCCCGGAGCCTTCATCATCCTCATCATCATCCACATCCAGTCAGCGTGGAAAAGATGCGGGCTCCACCTCTCTGACATGTGAGGGCTATCAGAGACAGGGCAGTCTGAAGCGGAAGAGCGAGGAGGTGGACAGCAGCGACAGCGTGCAGATTTTGGAGGAGCTGTCGGCTCCTGTGCTCCCCAACCGTGTGGCCGGAGGTGGAGGCAACGCCACGGCTCAGTCCATCGCTCATTCCACATCCACCACCAAAAGCAGCAACTCCCACAGTGAGGGCGACTACCAGCTGGTGCAGCATGAGATCCTCTGCTCTGTCTCCAACAGCTACGAGGTTCTGGAGTTCCTCGGCCGGGGAACATTCGGACAGGTCGCGAAATGCTGGAAGCGTGGAACTAATGAGATCATGGCCATTAAGATTCTCAAGAATCATCCGTCATATGCCCGCCAGGGTCAAATAGAGGTGAGCAGTTAACCTGTATCAAAACCTTTCCCAATCATTGTATTTTTGTGAATAAAATGCTGTAAATGACAAACAAGAAATAAATAAGAGATATAAAGCTGCAATTTTAAGAATTAGTTGTAATTGTGAGATATAAAGTTGCAGTATCAACAAAAGCATACAGTTTTATAAAAAAATATACAGTTGCAATTACGGGAAACCGTCACAGTTATGAGATATACAGGTGCAATTAAGAGAAATAGTCACAATTGTGAGGTATGAAGTCACAAATAGCAGTTGTGTGATATACAATTGCTTTTGACAAAAAATTTAAATTGTGAGATATACAGTCGCAGTTGTGAGATATGATGTTTGCAGTTGTGAGATACTAAGTCACAATTGTAAGATACACAGTCACAATTACGAGAAATAGTTGCAATGGTGAGATGCAATCGCTATTATGAGAAATGGTCAGAATTTTGAGATACAGTCACTACTACAAGAAATAGTTACAGTTGTGAGATATACAACTTCACAATTGTGAGACATACAATCGCTATTACAAGACATAATCTCCATTGTGAGACTTTCAGTTGCTATTTCGAGAAATAGTCACATGTGTGATATATACAATCACTATTACAAGAAATAAAGAAAAATTTATGAAAAATGTACATCCCAAAGAAGCACAAAATCACTTTTACGGACTTTTAAATTAAATGTTCCCTCCTGGTGGAATGACCTGCCCAACTCAATCCGAGCAGCTGAGTCCTTAGCCATCTTCAAGAATCGGCTAAAAACACATCTCTTCCATCTTTATTTGACCCTCTAACTCTAGCACTCTCTATTCTAATTATATTCACAAAAAAAAAAAATACTTTTAGACCTTTTAGACTTGCACTCTATTCATTTGCTGCTTGTTTTCTTAAAAAAAAACAAAAAAAAACACTTGCTTTCTAATCTTTTTGTATTCTGTCTGTTTTCTTTTCATTTATTATACAATTAGCAAAAGCAAAAAAGACCTCTAACACTAGCTTGCTCTATCCTTTTTCTTTTTTTTATAATATTTTTTTTATTTTTTATAAACAAAAAACAGTAACCAACATAAGATAACAATACACATATTTACACCCACACACACAGACCAAAAAAATAAAAAATAAACCCTGGACTGCCTCAATTAACATATATACACAACATAGTATTCACAATTGTTTTATAAATCCAATACTTCAGAAATGTATTTAAAGAAAAAAAATAAAAAATAGAAGGGGAGATTTACAGAATACAGAAATTAAATTTCCAAGAGTCTCAAGATAGGTCCCCATGTGGCTTCAAATCTTTTCTGTGAGGAGAGCTCACCAAAACTTAACTGTTCCATTTGGATAATGTAAAGATCTCATTCAACCATCTCAGAAAACAAGGGGCTTGTGGAGATTTCCAATTGAGTAGTATCACTTTTTTGGCTGCAATCATGCCTACCGTTAGAGCCTGTTGATGAGTATGAGGAAGAATGTCCATTACATCAGAATATCCAAAAATAGCCAGACTGTGATCAGGTTGAATATTAATTTTGAAAGCACTAGAAAACAATTAAAAAAATTTAGACCAGAAAACATACAGAATAGGACAAAACCAAAATAAATGTGCCAGTGTCCCCTCCGCCCGCTCTATTCTTTTTCTATTCTATCTGTTTTCTTTTTATTTATTATATTATTTAAAAAACCCTTGCTACGTGTACTACTTTAAGCTAACTGAGACTTGTTATAGCACTTGTATATCATTGCTCTTTTGTTGATTTTTATTGCTTCCATTGTCCTCATTTGTAAGTCGCTTTAGATAAAAGCGTCTGCTAAATGACTAAATGTAAATGTAAATAGTTGTAGTTGTGAGATATACAGCTTTGCAATTGTGATACATACAATCTCTATTACGAGAAATAGTCACAATTGTGAGACATACAGTCACCATTATGAGAAATAGTTGCAATTGTGAAACATTCAGTCGCTATTATGAGAAGTCGTTGCATGTGTGATGCATGATATACAATCGCTATTACAAAAAATAATCACAATTGTTAGACATTCAGTAGCTATTACGAGAAATAACTGTAAGACATACTGTGTCACTATTATGAGAAATAGTCGCAATTGTGAGACATTGGTCCATGTACGTTGTGTTCATTTGTTTTTGATTTAATATTGAAAACAGAAACATGAGAAAACAGCACCATTTTAATTTTTAGCTTTTTCAAAAACATGAAAAGACAAGAATTCGCCTTAATTTTTTATTTTTACATTCAGGGGTAGAAAATGGATAAACAGCTTGAATGTTCGATTTCCACATGTGGGAGGGAATTAAACGCCCCTTTTTACTGATTGGTCAAGCAAAAATGAAACGGTGCCGTCATCATGTTGTCTTCATATCTGTGCAACAGAATAAGGCCCTGTCCACACGAACGCGGTTATTTTTAAAACCGCACCTTTTTCTTCGCAGTTTGGCCGTTCGTCCACACGCAAACGCAGCATTTTTGAAAACGGCTGCCAGGGTGAAGATTTTCAAAAACTCCGGTTGCAGTGTTATCGTGTAGACAGCGAAACCGAAGTTTTTGGCTTGTGACTTCGGAGCCTGCACTTATCTCCGCCTACTGGAAACTTTTTCCGGCTTCTGATTGGCCAACATGGCTTTATGGTTGAGATTATATCGCCACCTGTTGGTTTGGCATGCTCTTGACAGTGATTCATAGCATGCGTTTGCGTTTTCATGTGGACTGAGATTTTTTTAAAAACGGATGAAGGAACAACTCAGTTTTTAAAAATACCCGTGTACGTGTGGACATGGCCTAAGAGTCCTCCTCTGTTAAGGTGTTTATTGCAACTCCTGCATTTCGTCTCTCTCTCATCAAACAACCAGACTAACAAATGTACAGGGTTTACTTCTGTGTAGGCATAGTTTCTCTATGGCAAGTATTAGGTGCCTATTACAGAAATATGTATGTACCTCGGATCTGCAGCCACATTACCCTTTTTGTCTATTTCTTTGGCACACCGCACATTTTATTTAGCTGTCCAGTTATCAAAATCTGTGTGGCAAAGCTGCGTGATGCACTGGACAACACGGGGCGAATGCATTTACATTATAGTGAAGTGCAGACCAGTATTGATTTTAGTGTGAATACGCAGCAGTCATAACTTTTATTTTAGACAGTACAGTTTCATTAATAATGAGTATGATTTAATTTCATTTAGACACAAAACAGTGTGTTTTATTTGGCTTAAAACACAGGCGTTTCATTCTTGAATGAAACTGAGTCTTTGAATGTTTCGTTTGTGTGAGTGGTTCAATGACCCATTTACTTTGCTCCTGAACAAATCAGCATTTTGAACGAATCGGTTGAATTGATGACTCTATGACTCATTCATCAACACAATGACTTGTAGCAACCTACTGGCGATGTAACCTTCATAATTCAAGTATCCAATTGTTTCATTTTGTCACTCATTTCATATTTCTGTAGGCTATTCAGAATGTTTTTGTTTAAAACATTAATCTCATTCCATAATGCCATTGATGTGTTAATGCATTGTCTGCGCAGCGTTAATTGTGTAAATACATCTAAATTCAACTTAAGATGCAGCTTCTGTGCCACAGTGCAAAGATGGCTTTGGTTGGTACTGATGTAATTGCTAATTGGTAACACTTATAATGTCATATTGTTTAAATATTGACTTAATTCAAGAATTTAATATTAAAGGTGACAGACATATTTTATAAAATTTGAAAAATGCCCTTTTCTATAAAAATAGCATGTATTATATACATGTGTAACATGCCGTCAGATAATGACTCGAAATAATAATCAAAACGGTAAGATAGCTTTATATTCACAATAAAATCGATACTGGTCTGCGCTTCACTATAATGTAAATGTCACGCAGCTTTGCCACACAGATTTTGATAACTGGACAGCTAAATAAAATGTGTGGTGCGCCAAAGAAATAGACTAAAAGGGTAATGCGGCTGCAGATCTGAGGTACATGCATATTTCTGCAATAAGCACCTAATTTGCCATATAGAATCTATGCCTACACAGAAGTAAACCCTGTCTAGGCGTTGCCCCAGTATGGTTTGTGTCAAGCCATTTGTTAGTCTGGTTGTTTGATGAGAGGGTGATGAATGCAGGAGTTGCAATAAACGCTTTAACAGCGGAGAACTCTTATTCTGTTGCACAAAACTGAAGACGACATGATGACGGCACCATTTGATGCTTGCTTGACCAAACAGTGGAAAGGGGCGTTTCATTTCCACCCAAACGTGGAAATCAAACATTCAAACTGTTTATCCATTTTCTACCCTTGAATGGAAAAATGGAAAAATCAAATAGTTTTTTGGAAAAAACGTAAACGAAAATGGCGCCATTTTCTCATGTTTTCAATTTTAAATCAAAAAATTAATGAACGAAACATACATGGACCGACATTCAATCACTATTACAAGAAATAGTTGCATGTGTGAGATATACAGCCGCTATTTCTAGAAATAGTTGCATTTGTGAAATATACAATTTGTAATTGTGAAACATACAATCTCTATTACAAGAAATAGTCACTTGTGTGAGATATACAGTGGGGATCAAAATTAGACAACAACCTACAGTTTCCTAAATTTCAAGGTCACTGCTTAGTCCTATTTGAAGTTATCCTAACAGGAGTAGAAGGGCAGTTTTTTTAAGCATATTTCATAAATTATTTTTATTCTGAAGCACAGTATAAAAAGCTTAAATTTGATATTTGAAAAAGAACTCTGATCAAAATTAGAGAACACTAACAGATACCTCCAAGGTTATTGGTGTTAATCTGGCACCTAATGCTAATTTCCTTAGTTATATGACAAACCCTATTTAACTGGCAGCATTCCTCTAATTTTCACTGATATTGCAAGATGGCGGGCCGCTATAAGGTGACTGAAACCCTGTGACAGGAGACGGTCCAGATGAAGGCCAAAGGGATGACACTTCAGAATCAGAATGAGCTTTCACTTCCAGCCACTGCAAGAGAAGTTGGTCATTCCAAATCTGATTTCTCGAATATTGCAGGTTTACAATGACACTAATTCATTCAAGTCCGCCAAAAAGGCTGGTCGTCCATGTAAGACAAATGCACGAGAAGACAGAGTCGGGGAAAGTCTGCAGCCCAAGTGTGTAAAGAAGTCAGGTTTGGGGGATGTTTTGTGCAGCAGGAGTTGGGCCTCTTATACAGCTACATGGCAGGTCAATGCAAATGTTTATCAGAACCTCCTTCAGCAACCTGCGGTACCTTCCCTGCAAGCATCTCCCAATCAGCCTGCAATTTTCATGCGAAACAATGCCCCTGTCACACTGCAAAATGGGTAAAGCAGTTCTTTGAAGCTGAAAACACTGAAATAATGAAATGGCCGGCCCAGAGTCCTGATCTAAACCAGATTGAAAATCTCTGGAAAATCCTTAGCGACAAAGTTATGGCTAAGAAACCCAGTACAGTTACCGAACTATGGAAGAAAGTGGAAGAAGAGTGGACCAAGATCATACCAGCGTAGTGTGAGAAACTAGTAAATAGTCACAGTTGTGAAATATGCAATCGCTGTTACGACAAATAGTCGCAATAGTGAGATACCCAATCACTATTATGAGAAGTATTCGCAATTAATAGATATACAGTCGTGATTATGAAAAATAGTCACAATTGCGAAATATGAAGTTGCAATTACTTGTTTTAGTCACAATTGTAGAATGTACATTAAATTGATGTTGCACATACAGGAAATACAGTTTTCATAATTTTTAATTGAGGTGGAAACAGACTTCCATAGCAAATACCTCTGATAATTAATATTGGATTGATGCAATGATAAATGTCTACTGCATTTATTTCTAAGATTTTAATTAATCATCGATCATGTGCTTGATACAAATTTGTTTAAATGTATTGAACTCAATCCTGTCCCGTTAAAGGTGAGCATCCTCAGCCGTCTGAGCACAGAGAATGCAGACGAGTTCAATTTTGTGCGCTCTTACGAGTGCTTCCAGCACAAGAACCACACGTGTCTGGTGTTTGAAATGCTGGAGCAGAACCTCTACGACTTCCTCAAGCACAGCAAGTTCAGCCCATTGCTCCTCAAGTGTATCCGGCCGGTCCTGCAGCAGGTTGCCACGGCGCTGATGAAGCTGAAGAGTCTGGGTCTCATCCACGCTGATCTGAAGCCTGAGAACATCATGCTGGTGGACCCCATCAGACAGCCCTACAGAGTCAAAGTCATTGACTTCGGTTCAGCGAGTCACGTCTCGAAGGCGTTGTGCTCAACCTACCTGCAGTCTAGATACTACCGGTAAGGAATATTTGATGTCAAAATGAATGGACAAGTGGATGTACTTACATTTGTGCATTTATAAACACTGTCTAAAGCAACTTAGTGCATCCAAGTCCAAGTTTTTTATGCACTGTAAGAATGTACATCAATTCTGAACAAATTAAAGCAAACGCAAGAGAATTATTTTAATGTTACAGACATGAATTGAAATGAAGTAAATTGATATTAATATGATACTATTATATGTATAAAAACTATTATATGTATGAAAAACTCCCTTAAAGCCTAATACAGTTTTACTTTTATATTTACATTTAGGCATTTGGCAGAAATTTAGTTTTAGGGTTTTATACAGATACAGAGTTTTACATGCTTCCAAAGTCAGTCATTGTGTATTATATTTATGCATAAATAGCTGTTCTTTTCTCATATTAATGGCTACCAATATTGACTGAATGTTCCTAACAATTTATAAAATTGGTAATACAGTGGGTTTATAAAACGGACAGTTCCGGTCCTTGATTCTGATTGGTTGAGCCGCATTCGAAGCTGTTGTAAATTACACTACAAACATACACTTTGTTTACTTCTGTGTGTTGCTCGGCAACCACTTTGTTGGAACCAAAACTGTTTCTGAGGAACTACATTGTTTGGTGGAAGAATACTGTTTTTATTTATATCATTACACTTTATTTGCTCTGTTTTATTTTGTGAAACCTTACAGACATGAATTGAAATGAAGTAAATTGATATTAATATGATACTATTATATGTATAAAAACTATTATATGTATGAAAAACTCCCTTAAAGCCTAATACAGTTTTACTTTTATATTTACATTTAGGCATTTGGCAGAAATTTAGTTTTAGGGTTTTATACAGATACAGAGTTTTACATGCTTCCAAAGTCAGTCATTGTGTATTATATTTATGCATAAATAGCTGTTCTTTTCTCATATTAATGGCTACCAATATTGACTGAATGTTCCTAACAATTTATAAAATTGGTAATACAGTGGGTTTATAAAACGGACAGTTCCGGTCCTTGATTCTGATTGGTTGAGCCGCATTCGAAGCTGTTGTAAATTACACTACAAACATACACTTTGTTTACTTCTGTGTGTTGCTCGGCAACCACTTTGTTGGAACCAAAACTGTTTCTGAGGAACTACATTGTTTGGTGGAAGAATACTGTTTTTATTTATATCATTACACTTTAATTGCTCTGTTTTATTCTGTGAAACCTTACTACGTATATGGAATACCGTTTTATAAAAGCAATAAGCCCCGTGAAGCCGTGGTTTACAGTGAATTTATAACAGCTAAGGGGGTTTTAGGCACTCCGCTTTGCATCGTGCCTAACAACATCCCTTAGCTGTTATAAATTCGCTGTAAACCACGGCTTCTTGGGGCTTATTGCTTTAATATAAAAGAATCACCCCCCTTTAAAATAATCACATTTTGTTGCCTTGCAGCCTGAAATGAAGACGGACACAGTTTTAGTTTTATCCAGTTGTATTTACCCAGTGCAACTTATAACATCCAAGTGAAAGATATAAAATACTTTTTTTTTTAAACTGAATCACTGAGCTGGAAAAAGGATCACCCCTTGTGTCAGTATTTTGTTGAACCACCTTTTGCTTTAATTTAGTCTGATGGGATATATCTCTGTCTCTACTGACTTTGCAGATCTAGACTTTGCAATATTTGCCCACTTTTCTTTGCAACAAAATGTGATTATTTTAAAGGGGGTGATTCTTTTCTATACCCACTGTATGTCTAATTGTCAGCCAATATAAATTTTTCAATGGCTGATCCGCTGATGTCAATAATACTGATATATGGTATATAATACATTTTATTGATAACATAGCTAGAAATAAAGATTAACTCAAAATTAACTAAATAACTCAAAAAAATGAAGTACTGAAATACTGTTTTATCTCATCTTGGAAATTGCACAAATTGAAAATAAGCATTGGATTATGATCTTAAAATGGCCAAATATCAATATTTCTGTCTATCACTAATATATCCTTCATCTGTAAAAAAAAAAAAAATTATTGTTTACCTTTACGATACATCAGATGCATATCTCTACCTGTCATTCTGCCAATAATATACACCTCATATCATTTTTATATTTTCTGTGGGGTTAGAAGTGTGGAAAAAAATGTAGGTGGTCTAAATGTAACTAAAAAAAGTGTCATTAAAAAGGTGACATTCTTAAAAAATGATTAATAAGCAGTGAAGCAGTTATTTTTTTAAATATGAATATTTCATGTAACCTTAATGTAACTTAACCAACTTGTCGTCAATGAAAACCTTAGACTTTTTTAAACTTAACGTTTTGTTCAAGTCTTACTTTAAGAAAACTACTTGATATTTGTTCTTAAAAAATCATAATATTTTGTACATTTTGTTTTTTAAATATTTAATAACAAAAAAAAAGTTTTATCTCTTTTTGGAAATGACACAAATTAAAAATTGGCATTGGATGATAATTTTAAAATAATATCAATATATCTGTCTATCACTAATATATCCTTCATCCCTAAAGAATTAGTTTACAGTAAATCATATGTATCTCCCTACCTGTCATTCTCCCAATCTTATACACCTCATAAGAAAACCTGCCAGTGCAATGAAGCTAATTTATTCATTAATTTGTTTTAATTTGTCTGTTGTGGTGCAGAGCTCCTGAGATCATTCTGGGCCTTCCGTTCTGTGAGGCCATTGACATGTGGTCACTAGGTTGTGTCATTGCTGAACTGTTTCTGGGCTGGCCTTTGTATCCGGGAGCCTCAGAATATGATCAGGTCAGTAATAAGGTTCTGTTTGCCTGAATTTAATCAGTTCTGTGCTAAATCAATTAATTTTATTCCAAATTCAATTGAGAAGGCTATCAGTAGATTTGGAAAGTGACACAAGGGGTCGCTAACACATCTGTTGAAAAACCATGCCAGTGCCGGTAATCTTAAAACTGACAATATTGGCTGATATATTCGTTTATTGCTAGCAAATAATCTTATACAGCAACTAGTTACCTTTCTCTGCATACACTACTTGGCTACAAACAGCTGTCCACAATGTGTCCATCTGTGAAGAATGGGTGTATAATCTACATTTCATGTATATCCCTACAGATTCGGTACATTTCCCAGACTCAAGGTTTGCCAGCTGAGTATCTCCTGAGCGCCGGCACTAAAACCAGCCGTTTCTTCCACAGAGGCCCAGACTCCAGCTACCCTCTCTGGAGACTCAAGGCATGCCCCACTTAAAGCACTGCTGTGTATTTTATGTTCAAAGGCATCAGCGGTCAATTGATGATTGAGCGCTTTCCTCACTGATGTGTTTCTGTTTTTAGACTCCCTCAGAGCACGAGGCAGAGTTTGGGATAAAGTCCAAAGAGGCTCGCAAGTACATTTTCAACTGCCTTGACGACATGATGCAGGTAGTGCTGTGTGTACAATAATGTGTGAAAAACTCACTGATACAAATGATAGAATAAATGTGTACAGACAGGATTCAAAACTAATGAGGTCAAATATATATGTGTGTGTGTGTGTGTGTGTATACATATATATATATACACACATACTCTATCGTTCAGAAGTTTGAGGTCAGACAAAAATTTAGTGTGTTGCACTTTGTTCTTATTGATGTATGTCTGTTATAACTATTTTCTGTAACACTTAATAAAAAATTGATAAAAAAAAAAAGTTTGGGGTCAGACAGATTTATTTTTAAATAATACTGTTATTCAGAAAGGATGAAATCTCATCCATTTCTTTCAGAGGTGCTTTGCAGTTAAAAATTGGTGGTGACAGAATAAATACTTGTGTATTTTGTGATGTTGAGATGAATAAGACAGAAATCTTGGATGAAAATACACAACTGTTCAAAATATGTTTTTTTTTTTTTTTTAAGAAATCAATTCTTTTATTTATAAGCATGCATTAAATTGACCAGAAGTGACAGGAAAGACATTTAAAATGTTAAAAATGATTTCTATTTCACATAAACGCTGTTCTTTTACACTTTCTGTTCATAAAAGAATCCTGAAAAAAAAACTACAATAAATTTCATTTTCAAATGTATTCAAATAGAAAACAGTTCTTTTAAATTGTAGTAGATTTTTGCAGATTTATTAAAAAAAGAAAAACTGAAATATCACATGGTCCTAAGTATTCAGACCCTTTGCTCAGTATTTAGTAGAAGCCTATTTAATATTCAACACCTTGGTTATCCAATCACAAATTTACATATTAAACTCCAGGTACAGTTGCAAAACAGCCTATTAGTTTTTTCTAGGTTTCTTTTTCTTCATTATGACTGAAACCTTGACTAACTTGAATAGACTCACTGTAACATGTTAACCTAAGTAAACTGGATCAATGCCACAGTGCTTTTTTGATTAGTGATCTAAAAATAGGGCAGACTTTTATATACTTCCTTATGTCACATGACGTCTTTTAATATTAAATCTTATTTTATTGCCTGGTTTAAATTAGTTCTTTCTCACACTCCAGGTCAACATGACTAACCTGGAGGGCACAGACATTTTGGCAGAGAAGGCTGATCGGAGGGAGTTCATTGACCTGCTGAAGAAAATGCTAACTCTAGATGCAGAAAAGCGGATCACGCCTACTAAGACCCTTAACCACCCGTTTGTGACGATGGCTCACCTTCTTCACTTCCCACACAGCTCACAGTAAGCCCTGTTGTTTATTTGTTGATTATCTACATATAATGTAGATATAATAGCCACATCTCTCCCTGTACTCCTCTGAAGACACTAACACAAGTGCCGCCCTCTCTTGTTGTGTAGTGTGAAGTCCTGCTTCCAAAACATGGAGATCTGCAAGCGCAGGTGTACCGCCTTCGACAACAACAAGAACCTGTTCGCCAGCCACAATGCTCCCAGCGCAGCCGCCAACCTCACCGTCACCTTCAGCAGTCAACTCAATCAGCACAGTCAGGTGTGTACTACTGCACAGATGCATTATGGGAAAGTTAATTCGTTTGTAATGCATTTGCATTCAGTATGTTGCTTGTAGTGGTAAAAAATAAGAATAGAATTATACGACTGAATATCACAAGTAATGTCAAACTACTATAGCGTGTTTTAAAGGGATAGTTCACCAAAAAATGACAATACTGTCATCATTTACTCACTCTCATGACATTCCAAACTCATATGTTATTTTTTCGGTGAAAGACAATCATTTTTGATGTAGCTCTTTTCCATACATCATCATTTCTTAGTGGCCATTTCTGTTAAATCTCCAAAAATGATGAAAACCTCCCACAAATATAATCTGTGTAACTCAAGCACTAATTTCCAAATCTTCTGAATTGATATAATTGCTGTTAATTCATGATCTGCTGCGAATGAATTATTGAATCGGTGAGTTGAGAGTCTTAAGAACCTGATCAGTCTGATTTATTAAAAAGAATAAATGATTAATTCACAAATCAGACTGATCTGGATCTCTCATGATTTGATTCTTGAGGTAGCAGCTCACTAGAGGGCAAAATTACCAGTGAATCTGAATAAAATGTCGGCCTGTTCCTCACAAAGCTATCATATGACTTCAGATGACTTGCAGTATAGCAGTGTTATTTTAGTATTATTTATATGCTATTGTAGTATATATCAATATATATTTCATTTATATATTTTCAGTTCTCTTTTTAATTTTAGTTTAAGTAATTTTAGTTAAAATAATGTAATTTTGTTATATGCTTTTTTATGTTTTTTGTTTGTTTTTATATTTTTCTGTTTAGCTTTAATTTATTTTTATTCCCATTTTAGTTTGAGTAATTTTAATACTTAAACTTATTTTAGTTAATTGCCAAGGCATTTTTCTGTTTTTAATGTAATAAAAAAAAATATAATAATAATAATTTACATTTTTCTAAGTTTAGGTTTTTGATCTAATATTTATATTTTATTTTATTTCAGCTTTATTTTAATTACCAAAAATGATTTTTAATACTTTTAGTTAAAACACTGGAATATAATGTACAAGTCAGATGAACTGCTTATATGGGGTTGATTTTGTTGTTTTTTGGGAGCTTGAGGCTGAGCTGCTTTAAACAACATAGGGCTGGGTGATATAGCTAAAAAAATTTATCAACGATATAATGTTTCATATCGTTCGGTATCGATAATTATTGACATTTATTTATAACCTTTTTTAAAACAAAGAGCAATAGAATTTTTTTTTTACATTTAACCACTGTTATTTTTAAATTAACCCAATTTATTGAGACAAACAACAAATATTTTTTGTTTTAACAATCAGTATTTCTTTAATATTTTGAATGAATAACGCAGCAGCGGCGCGTCTCGTGGGATGCAACAACGTCACTTACATCAATCGCCCAGGCCTAAAACAACATTAGAATTGTCATTAATAGATGAACTATTGCTTTAAAGCATAGTATGCATGCTATATTAATGTTTTTAGTGCTGTTTCTGTGCTTAGTCAATGTTGTTAAGAATCTCCCTCTCTTTCCGTAACTGCCAGATGGCCTCCACGGGCGGCCAGTCCCTGTCTCTTAGCAGCAACGTCCCTCTACTGAACTACCAGCCTGGTCTGTACCAGCAGGCCACTATAAATATACCAGGCTTGGCTCAGCAGAGTGTGCCATTGCAGGCTCGCCCTACTCAGCTGTGTGCCCAGACAGAGCCCTTCCAGCAAACCCTCATTGTGTGCCCTCCTACCATCCAGGGTGAGCCTGTACCCGACCCCTTTTACCCAACCCCACCGCTCTGTCCTTTAGACTCATACCCAACCCCACCCGTCCTTTAGACTCATACTGCTTCCAAATGCATTTGAACTGAATCGCTCATGTTTGATTCACCAGGGCTGCAGACCTCCAGTAAACACGCTGGATATCCAGTGAGAATGGACAACTCTGTACCCATAGTGCCCCAGAACCAGTCTACCCAGCCTCTACACATTCAGCCCAGCATGCTCACACAGGTAGGGAAGAGTTAAGAGTTTCTCCTCTTAACACTGTTTAATATGATCCTTGTTTCTCCTCCCTGTTAGCACATTGGCCTTTATGAGTATTGAGTGTTTATCTTTTCCTCATTTATGTGCAGTAAGAATTACAGTGAAGATTAAAAATGAAAGAGGCATTTGTTTTAAATTCTTTTGAGTCGGTACATCATAAACTGTAAACACAGACTCTTTCCAGGAAAATATCGTCATCAGCTCAGCTGGCATTTATATTAAATATGATTAAACCAGGATCATTTCACATGCACGCTGCATTTAACAAAAGCCACATTTTCTGTCATCTGTTCTGTTACAGTTTCTGTTCACACTAACTACCATTCAAAAGTTTGGGGTTGGTAAGATTTTTTAAAATGTTTTTAAAATAAGTCTCTTATGCTCACCAAGGCTGCATTTATTTTATCAATGATACAGTAAAAACAGGAATATTGTTAAATATTATTGCAATTTAAAACAACTTTTATTCCTTTAATGGTAAAAGTTGAATTTTCAGTGTCACATGATCCTTCAGACATCATTCTATTATGCTGATTTGCTCCTCAAGAAACATTTCTAATTATTATTAATGTTGAAAGCAATTGTGCAGATTAATACTTTTGTGGAAACCATAATAAAATTTTTCAGGATTCTCTGAATAGAAAGTCCAAAAGAACAGCATTTATATGAAATAGAAATGTTTTGTAACATTACTAGTGTCTTTTTAATGTCACTTTTGATCAATTTAATGCCTCCTTGCTAAATGAAAGTATTAAAAAAAATTCTTACTGACCCGAAACGGTAGTGTATTTTCAGCCAAGATTTCTGTCTTAGCTTTTCATGACAATGAATTGGAGCGAAAGATCAAAGACATGCATTTATTCTGTTACCAGCCATTTTTAATCGGTGACTTTGGAAGACCTCTGAAAGAAAAGGGTGAGATTTCAGCAAAAACAGTCAAGTTGTTACAATCAAGATGTTTCAAGTCCGTTGAGTCGCTGTCTTTACTGTCAAATGATATTGATCTGTTTTGTATTTGACATTGTTTTTCTTCATTTTTTCACTATCACAATGATGTTGGAAAGTCTTGGCGAGTTACCTTCTCTGTCAGTTCAGCCATCGTTTTGTAACCGCTCCACTCTTTCCTCCATTCTCAGTTCCTCCACACATCCCTCTATCCCTTCCCCAACCAGAGCAGCAGCACGCCTCTGACGGTGGCCTCCCTGCGCCTTCCAGTGGCGGGAATGACGCCGCTGGCCTTGGGCTCTCGGTGTCTGGAGCAGAGTGCCACCATGCTGGTAAACCTGTGCCCTGCAGTGTGATGCCTTATTCCTCTTCTTCCTTCCTGCCCCTCTTTTTCTTTTGCCTTCTTTGCATGTTGCATTTCTAGGTCAAACTTCTGAACTGAATGAGATTAAAAAAAAAAAATGATAGTGTACCAAACAGTAATTGCAAGAAAACATGTTTTTCTATCGAGTTGTTTTCATGGGCAGCATACAAAAACAATACTATGCGACCAGTGTAGTGTAATTTACAACATGACTCTTATGAACCAGTTCTTTTAATAAATTGTTTAAACAGACTCATAAACTGAACAGTTACCATTTTGAATCAGCCAAATGAATCCTTAATTGAATGACTCACTGAATCAGTCAGAGTGCTTTCTGAATCATCTAGCTCACTTAAGCTGCAACTTAGTTATCATTATTTTCATTACATTTTTTAATAAATCCTATTTTAAAGGGGTCATATGATGCTGCTAAAAAGAACATTATTTTGTGTATTTGGTGTAATGAAATGTGTTTATGCGGTTTAAGGTTCAAAAAACACATTATTTTCCACATACTGTACATTATTGTTTCTCCTCTATGCCCCGCCTTTCTGAAACGCGTCGATTTTTACAAAACTAATCGGTCTGAAAAGCGAGGTGTGCTCTGATTAACCAACTATCCAGTGCGTTGTGATTGGCCCTATTATTGATACAAGTTCTCCTGTATTGTCATAATTCAGTTTCTTCAATCACAGTTCACCTGTTTGGACATTAATGCTCTGGAGTGTTTTTCGAGTGTAAACAGGCCTTGTTGCCCCACATTAATAGAAAGGAAAATAGATTTGAGTTTCTGACAAAATGGTTTTGTTCAGTTGTCATTGTGTATGTGTTTTAGCAGGGCTGGCCAGCAGGGACCCAGCAGATCCTCATTCCCTCTTCATGGCAGCAGATGTCAGGCATGACCATGCACAATCCCAGCCAGCCTGTGCTGACCAACTCACCCATGGGCTCTCTGCTCTCGGACAATACCACCCAACAGAACAGTAGCTGGAGGTCAGAACTCTCCCACAGCAGTTTACACTTGCAGTTTCACACTTCAGGTTCTGTTGCAAACCTGGATTCATTCAACCATCAAGTTTGAAAAAAAGCTTGTGTAAAAGCTTTACTATTGTGCAGTGCTCGAGTATGAATGCATCTGGGGTTTGCTTTAAAGGTGAATCTCACAAAACCTGTCAAAAATATCACCTCAAAATCAAATATATTATTATTAATTAAAACACATTAATAATAATGATAATAAATATATTATATATTAAATATTTCTGTGTGTGTGTGTAATAGTAGTAGTAGGAAATATGGTATTATTATTATTATCAGTATTAGTATTATATAACAATTATTAATTACTAATATAGTTAATATAATTATTATTGTGTAATTATTGTTGTTATTGTGTTATTATTATTATTATTATTTTAAATCAGCTCAAAATAGAAGGAAAAATATTAATAATAATAATATTGTTTTAAATTAAAAATTATATTAAGTTATTATTGTTATTATTTAAAATTTATTAATTATTATTTACTGTCATTATTATTATTATTATTATTAAGATTTTTTAAAAATCTCATTCTCAATACTGTAAGGTGAGAAAAAAATGACATTATATATTTAAGTTAGTTCATTTATGCTTATTTAAAAAAAAAAATGTATGTAACAACAATTATTTTAGTAATTTGGAAACAATATGTACCTTTTCTTTTCTTTAGATTTTAAGGTGAAACATGACCTGGGCAGGTTCTTGACACGTTTTGCTTGATTCACATGTGCTTTATTGTCTGATTACAGTGTTAAAAGCTTTAAAAGGTGGTACTTATGTTGATGACGAAAAAGTATTTTGCAAATCTACTAAGTGTGAAAACACCTTAAAAGTGATGAACTGGAATATTGCAACTTCTTGTTAGCCGGTAGAAATCATTGCAGATTGACACTCTGACTTTTTTGCTGCTAATGGTAATGTAGAACAACGTGCTGCTGCAATGAAAACTGAATTTTATGAACTATAAATAGCTAATAACCAATTACAATTCTCAAAACAGCATGCATTCAATACACTCTGCCAGGGGTCGACATGGAGGTCAGTGCGATGGTAAGCAGCAGGGCTCTGCACAGGGGCGTAACGTGAGCACACAGCCCTCCCACACAAAGGCAGCCAGCAGTCGTACACAGCAGAGTGGTGTAAAGAGGTCAAAGGGTCGACATGCCGAGAGCAGAGCCAGGTAACGCTGTTAATGAGTCTCAGAACGAGCAACCATCTTCATAATACCAGTGTCTGGATAATAGATCGGAAAATGTAAATTTCAAGTCAAACTGTCCAAAATATGGTACTGTGTACTCAATTAAAATCTGTTTTCTGTCTTCATGTCACAGACCCACATCCTCCCAGCAGCCGACTTCTTCAGTAGCACACAACTGTGGTGATGCGTCCCAGCCCATCATCATCTGTGACACGCCCAGCCCCGCCGTCAGCATCATCACCATCCACAGTGATACTGAGGACGAGGACGACAGGAAGTTTCCTCCTGAAAGGTGCAGCATCACTTTCACATCCCAACCAAAACTCCTTACTGTAGCTGTATTGTAGTTGTAGTGTGTGTGTGTGTGTGTGTGTGTATGCATGTATATATAGTTTATTTATTTTTTGCTACATTATTTTTCTTTTAGACATATCTTCATATTGTCAAAATTTGGTCATTAAGAATTTTTTTAAATAAATAAGTATAAAATTAAATAAATAAAATGTATAATTTGCATTAAATTGATCAAAAGTGACGATATAAGACATTTATAATGTTACAAAAGATTTCTATATGAAATAAATGTTGTTCTTTTGAACTTTCTACTCAGAAAATATGATTGAAAATAATGTATCTCAGTTTGTATCTCAAAAATATTAAGCAGCACAACTGTTTTCAACATTGATAATAATAAGAAATCTTGCTTGAGCAGCAACTTAGCATATTAGAATGATTTCTGAAGGATCATGTGACACTAAAGACTGGAGTAATGATGCTGATAATTCAGCTTTGCATCACATTCAAATTACATTTTAAAATATATTCAAATAAAAAACTGTTCTTTTAAATGGTTACAATATTTCGCAACACTGTTTTTACAACCTTGGTGAGCATAAGAGACTTTGTTCAAAAGCATGAATTCAAGTTGTTCTTCTCTTGTATGGCAGCTGTAGTGTGAACCAGCGTACAAACGTCATCAGCTGTGTGACTGTCCATGACTCCCAGGACTCGGACTCATCCACCAGCACCCCTCTCAGCCCCAAATGCCTTCCCAACACACACTCCAAGTCTCTAGCCATGGTCACGCCGTCAGTGAAAAAACAGCGCTGGGATGGAGCGTCAGGAGGTCAGTGAGACTCATTCTGACTTCTAATCATCTAAATACTGAGCTTTGATTAATTAAAGGGGCCACATTCTACACTACAGCTTTTCACTACAGCTTTAGCACTACAGTCCATTCATGATAAACAAGGCTTCTTACTGTAAGGTCCACACACTTGGCCCAAGGAAGGTATCCAGTGGTGGATGAAGGTCACTTGCGTGTTCGGTCTTTTCAGCGCGCAGAGTTATTCAATTTAGGTTTAACTGAAATCTGACTCCATTTTATTATCTAATCTGACCCCATTTTAGTATTACCTCAAATTTAGGTTGAAAGGCAAATTGGTTGTTTGTCGGTCTCTAATTATTCTGACATTTGATAATTCTAGTTAACTCTTTACTCTGTATTTTCTCGTTCATTAAGAATCTATGTTATTTAGGATGCCTCACGGCGGCCGCTATGCGTGGGCTCCACGATCACAAACTCGCCAGTCTGATCCTTAGCCAGAGGTTTGTGGCTAATACTATTTAATATACCTTAAATAGTAGGTCTGTTTAGCCCCCCACAGTTACCCATGTAATACTCAAACATTAATCAGCGGTTCTTCTAGAACCCCTTGTCTAGACCCCGACAGTTAATATAACTACGTACAACTTAATTAACGCTCAAAACATTAATCAGCGGTTCTGCTAGACCCTCTGCCTAGCCCCCGATAGTTAATATAACT